CTTGACATTTAGATTCCTATGCACTAGGAACTATATCACTGCTGGCTTCATAAGCTAGCCTGGATGTAGCAATGTAGCCATTGCTCTTACATAGATATCTGAACCTGTGGTTTGGCCTTAGGTAAATTATAGAGGACTCATGAGATGCTTGAGAAATACTTTTAGTTTAGAACAATGTGTAAATGTCAAGAATCAGCGATTGAGGAATAACACATCAAAATATCTGGCATTCTAAACTGGACATGGACATCCCAGTTAATTTTGCCGATTCATCCTTCCTGGAATAGAAGATCTTAGAGCTAGAAAATCTTAGAGGTCATTTAGTCTCATGGGTCTATAGTGACTAAATGATTTGTCCAGGGCCTCTCAACTAGAATATGGTAGAGCTCAGGGTCTGTAATTTTTACCCTTATACTCAATAAGATTAGTATTTTTCAGCTCTTCTTAAGCCAATATCTTTCATTGATATCTGTGTGGCTTAAAAGCCTCCTAGATAAAACGTAGCCATTTTCATGCTGAAGGACACTCATTACTGTCTGTAGTTGGATTATTTATTAATATTTATCCTTATCTTATATAACATAAATCTTATAAAACATAAATTACACAAGGACAGGAATCTTTCTGTCTTATTTAGCTCAATCCTTAGAACTTTGTACATCATAGGTGTACAATACATTTTGGTTGAGAATGAGGAAGGTGGAGTTACCTTTGCAGTTCAAATAACATCAAAAGAGCTGGGATTTCCCCCATCGTTAGCAGTAATTTAATAGTGATTCATTGAATGTTTTGCACCTCAGACACTGTACCAGGCATAGAAAGAAAAGATATATGGTGGTTAAATTCAGAGACCTAAAGTCTAAAAAAAAAGCAAATTAGGAGGACCAAATTGGACTTTCAGTTTTTTCAATTAAATTTAATTTGAATGTATACTCCCATTACTTTCTTTGACTTATCTGCTTGCTTTGTTCATTTAAGTGCCTGATTTCTTATGACATTTGTGTTCAAATTATAAGTTCTGTAGGTCAGTGGTTTTTAAACCTGATTGATTGTTACCTTGCTTTGGAGACTTTAGAAATGATGCACACAGAAGCAATCTAGATCCTTCTCCTGACTTTCTGAGTTAGTGGGGCTAGGGTGCTCTCAGAAGATGTACCCCAGTCCCACTTTTTTTAAGGTGGTCATGTAAAAAACGATAACTAAGTAGGCAGTTATAGTGAGTCAGCCACCTCAATCTAGATACCACTGCCCTTGTAGGTGAATACTGTATGCAAGTTCTTGATCTTATGACCTGAACTTGGTATTCTATATGAATAGTTTCTTCTCAAAGAATCTGTGTACATTTCAGTACATGATTTATTCTAGGAGGCTCTGCAGAATCAAATAGTATGCTTGCTGCCTGTATACTAAGGCCCTGAAAACTCTCTGATGTTGTGTAGGTAAATGAGTCTAAATATCAAACTAATAATACCTAAGTTGGTTATGATCCCACATGCTCTTCTGTAATTTTTCCGTGTGTGGTTTAGCACTTTATATAGATTGAACATATAAATTGGCCCTGGATTGGTTACATGGTACCTTTTAAGACAATGCTTTTCTGTATGTGTGTAGCAAAAGAGATGGATTGTGCTTTTCCAGGATTTTTCTTCCTTTAGTTGGAGGAAAGATAGCAGGCATTTATTAGTGGACCTGCAAATAGGTGAGCTGTCAAGGTGTTGGCAGTGATAGGCTCCTCTGGGTGGAATTCAGGGCATCCTACCAGCAAAAAGAAGGCTAGACTTAAATGATTTCACATTTGGGCTTTACTTCTTATAATTGCTGAAGTGCTAAATTGGGTGTGACAAATCTAACAGGTAATTGCCAAGAAGGTTTCATTACTAGTCATTCACTAGATAAATGATGCTCATATTAGAACTAAGCAAAAAAAAATTAAACTGTTTTAGAGTAGAATTCACATATTGCAAATGTATTCACATATATCCAAGCCTTTTCAATGTGTTCATTAACTTCATTCCTTTTCCCCTGCCAAAGTGTTGTAGTATATGGGGTTACAGAGGAGGTGAAAGTGGTGTGAGGGATTGTGATTTAAGAAAAATTATGAAAGAGGTTAGGATTGGGAAGAAAAGCTGTTTTCTTATAAGGTGGTAAGTATTAAATGGCTTTTGGACAACACTCAGCTCTAAATAATTATGTTAGAGCTAAGCTTTTGATATTATTCTAGCTTGAATATAAGTTATAATTGTGAGATCAGTCTCAGTAGATTTCATTCATTAGGAATTTGATTGGTTTAATGAAAATAGTTTTAGAAGTCATATCAAAGCACAGTAAAACCTAAGATCACATCATTGTCTGGAGACTTGAGCATCTCTGGCTGAGCATTAGTACGTGTAAGAGTTTTTTTTTTGCCTCCTCGGTTCATTGCTGAATCTCATTAACTAGAAAGATGCCTGGACTAAAATAAGTCTGAAAATAATTGAGTGAAAGAAGAAAGGAAGGTACACTTGTTTCAGCTTTCATGGAGCTTACATTCTACTGGGAGAGACAAGTAGTAAGGACAGGTCAATAAACATGCTTATGACAGTTTGTCACTATGTTGAGGGTGCTGTTTTTGTTAGAATGGTTTGGGAATGAATAGATGAGAACACAGAAGTTGTGCAAAGCCTAGGGAAAAGGATTATTTGAGGAACAGAAAGAAGGCCTGTATGACTTGAGACTGGTGAATGAGAGGGAGACTTGCTATAATTAGGAAACACAGTAATGTCAAAGAGTATAGATTTTATTCCATGTGCAGAGGGAGCTCATTAAGAAAGAAATAGTATATAAGCAAGGGAGTGGCATGATTCCATCTGTTTTTTTTTTTTTTTTTTTTTTTTAAGAGATGCTCTGATTTCTTTGGAGATTGGACCATAGGCAGGGGACAAAAGGAAGGCCAGAGGAATGTTGTAGGTGAGGGTAAAGGTCGCTTGCCTCAGGAGGATAACTGGAAGTGAGGAGAAGTAGATGGATTTGGAATGGATTTTGAAGCAGAGAAAATTGTTTAGTGGTCTCAGGGTTGCTTGAGAAAGTTGACATACAAGAGAGTACATAAACATACACATTATTTTTATATTATTTTGGCCATAAGTAAGAAAAGTGCTCTTTGAACTTTGGGGATTACTAGTTATTATGAGTGGAGAAATCAAGCCTCTGTGCTGCTCCTCTGATATGGTTCTGTGGTTCCAAGCATTTTTGACAGCATCTATTCAAAAACAGAATGGCAACACACACTGTGTATTTTTTGGCAGATCAGACCATACTGAAATGAAACCAGAAAATTTAACTGTGCCTCTTGAATGGAACAGGACTCAGAAGAGATTATCTCAGATGTAATCTATAAGATAATTTGCCTTCTTATAAACAAAAATGTCATTTAAACATTTAGAATGTCTAAATTACTATTCTAGATTCCTTGTGGCTGTTTTGAGTTAATTGATTCATTTGGATAGTATGTTACTCTGATGTTTTAATAGGTAACAGTCAAATGAGGTGGAAGACCATAAGAATAACGCTAATAAGTGGTACTATCAAGTTATTAGCTTAAGGCTGTTATATAGAAAGACTAAATGTGACCTGAGCATTCTTGTTAAAAATCCCACACCTTCAGTTGCTAGGCAGCAGCATTTACATTCCAACTTGTGTGTCCCAGTTAAGGAGCTTGCTGTGTACATCATCACCTTATGGACCAATGAACAGCTAGATAAAAATGCTTCTAAATATTATTGCAAGAGGACACTGGGTTCTTCTTACTGGAAAATACAACTGGAAAACTCAATTTGTTGAATTACTTTGATTTTAGTAATCCAAAAAATGGACTTGGAAGGGACTCTTTGACTGTAAATAGCTCAAGTTAAACTTACTAATTGGAATAAAAAACTTTTTTTGGGGGGGAGTATGTGTGTGGTAGCTTCCAGAATTGTCACTAGTGGGATAAAACTTAACATTGATTTTAAAAGACTCTCATATAGTTGTAGCAGATTAAATTTAAGACTTAACAGTAAGACTGATATGGTGGTACATGCCTGTAAACCCTGGACTCTGGGTTTATAAATTAAACCAACCTAGACTGTATATCAAGACCTTACCTCAGAGAAACTAAACACCAAAGAGGACAGAGAAGGGAGATACAAAGGGTTATAGAGATAAAGGGTGGGGAAAGATTGAGATTGATATCGAATGGGGGGAGACTGACATTGCAATGTTGACAAGTGAGTATTTTATTTCCTGAGTTTTCACGTTTTTGCCCTCAATTTAACTTTCTCTGCAAGTCTGGCATGTTTAACGAATCAGATAAACATGTTTGATTTGAAGATTATACAGTATGTCCCTAATCTAGGTGAATCAAATGAAGTTGTAGTTAATCAAATAATAAGCTCAAGAAGGCAAATGAGTGTGTATACTCCATGGGACTGATAGAGGTCTACACCAGTCAGACTGAATTATTTTATTGCTGGTTTATGGAAAAATAAACACAGAAATGAGTGCTCCTGATTCTTGTGATTGGTTTACTCTAGGCTAGTCCTTTATCTTTTGTTCTTATCAAATCTCCCTCTTTCATTTAACATAATTGTGGGTAATTCAGAAACACCATGTTTTGTTCCATGGAGTTTGTGTAGTGTCTGGTGGGAATATCAATGAGAAACCACAAAATAGACTGTAGTTATTTCCACCAAGTAATGTTCTTCCAACATTTATAAATTATTTGCCCTACAGGAGTGACAAGTACAGATTTCTGGGAGCAGGAAATTATAATACAGTAGATCTTCTTGAGAGACACATCCTAACTAAAGCTTGTAAATTCTCCTTCATCTTTGCTCATTCTTTAATCTTAACTGCCTTTCCCATTTGTGGTTATATAACTATTCTGTATTTGATATAAAATTGACCTCATGTTCAATCTTACATTGTCTTTGGACAATAGTTTTGGTAGTGACATTTCCTCCTTTTATTTCTTTGGTCTCCAGAAGGGCAGTTACCTTGAAGCAATCTCCTGGGTATAGAAGATTTTTGAGCATATGTTCCTTATCACAGTATATTTTCTCATTCAATGCATATTGTATAAGTAGTAAAAGTTGTGTTTGAAATTTCAATTTAAATTAAACATTTTAGTTTAAGATTGCAGAACATTTATAAAGTTGAAGTATATCACAAAGGGAAAGCTTACAATCTGTTATTGCTGTGTACTTTAAAATTATTTATGATTACTTATCTGAATAGACTCTTTGACATACCTACAAATACAAAGATAGTCTCTGAAACAAGGTTTTCATGTACCAAATTTAAGGCCTGGATTGAATTTTATGGATGAGAGAGATACCTTGAAAATGGAGTCATTGGCACAGGCTCCTGTGTAGGCAGAGCTGTAATGAATTGCAACTTGAGCTCGGATCTGCAAAATACTCAGAGAACACAAGCAAAAGCAATTTTTCCTCTCATGAACTAGGTTCTCCAAAAGCAACAAGTACTATTTGTCTTTTCAGAATGCTGTTCTGTAGCTTAGCTGTTAGACTCTTTGTGGTTCAGACTTAACATGACTGAGATTCCTCTGCCTAGATAAAACTTGACAGCTCTCTCAGGATGTGAGGAAAATTTCCTAACTTTAATTTAGAAGGATACTCTGCATTTCTGATTAGGCAATTGTGAACTTTTTTTCCTACTCTCATTCCCTGGTGCTAAAAAATGAGACCTGGTTGCTGGGTTTGAGAACAGTATGTGGCCTCAGACCTTTAAGACTATCTGGTTTAGAAATCCTATCAAGTGCTTAGGAGGGTTTTTGGAATTTTTTTCCCTAGCCTTTCTCAACTTCTTAATGTCTTAAAAATTATTTTCCTTTCTGTCCTTCAAATATAGTGTTTGTAATGCTTTTTAAGAAATTGTGGCGGCGGACTCTGGGAGTAGAAACCAGCTCGAGCAAGTCACCTCCTCCCGCTGCGGTGGTCGCCGGTGTCCCGCCGGCCGTCTGTGTCGCCTTGCACTGCTGCAGCAGCCGCGGCACGATGACGACTGCGTTCCTCGTACTGCTGTCCTTGTTGGTGGCAGGTGTTTGGGGGAACGAGTTTAGTATATTACGATCACCAGGGTCTGTTGTTTTCCGAAATGGAAATTGGCCTATATCAGCAGAGCGAATCCCAGACGTTGCTGCTTTGTCCATGGGCTTCACTGTGAAAGAAAACCTTTCTTGGCCAGGACTTGCAGTGGGTAACCTATTCCGCAGGCCCCAAGCTACCATTATGGTAATGGTGAAAGGAATAGACAAACTGGCCTTCCCCACAGAAAGAGTCATCTCCTACCCCTTGGAAAATGCAGTTCCTTTTAGTCTTGACAGTGTGGCAAATGCCATCCACTCCTTATTCTCTGAAGAAACTCCTGTAGTGTTGCAGTTGGCTCCCAGCGAGGAAAGAGTATATTTGGTGGGGAAGGCTAACTCGGTGTTTGAAGACCTTTCAGTCACATTACAGCAACTCCGGAATCACCTGTTTCAAGAAAACTCCATTCTCAGTTCACTCCCTTTAAATTCTCTGAGTAGGAATGAGGAAGTTGACCTGCTTTTTCTTTGTGAACTGCAAGTGCTTCATGAGATCTCAAGTTTGTTATCTTTCAACCAGCACGTAGCTGAGGATCATTCTCCTGATTTGTATTCCCTGGAGCTAGTAGGTTTGGATGAAATTGAGAAACGTTATGGCAAAGAGTCGGAACAATTCAGAGATGCTTCTAAGATCCTCGTTGATGCTCTACAAAAGTTTGCAGATGACATGTACAGTCTTTATGGAGGGAATGCTGTGGTAGAGTTAGTGACCATCAAGTCCTTTGACACACGCCTGGTGAGGAAGACCAGGATGATCCTTGAGGCAAACCCAGAGAAACAAGTAATTCCCTATAACCTGGCATATAAATATAATTTTGAGTATTCAGTGGTTTTCAACCTGGTACTTTGGGTGATGATTGCCTTGGTTCTGGCTGTCCTCATCATCTCCTACAACATTTGGAACATGGACCCTGGATATGATAGCATCATATATAGGATGACAAATCAGAAGATCCGAATGGACTGAACTTTCCTTATGTCATACTTACACAAGGGGTTTGGAAATAGGTCATTTTCTTAAGATACATCTTACAGTATGATTTAAAGTATAGATGGCATTCTTAAATTTATCAAAATGAAAAAACAACAACAAACTTTGTTCTCTGTTTTGTGTTTTTTTTAGACTGAATTGTAGTGTTACTGTGAGCTGAATTCTGTAATACAGAGTCTATATTATGCTCAAATGTTACAGACATTTAATAATGTAATTTCTATTTAATAAATGGAAAAATTCACTGATAAAATATAAAACACTTATAATAGCTTGTTATTTATGTTGGGAAATGCACTGAATTTATTATAGAACTTAAGAATGCTTAATTTTCTCATGTAGGGTAAACTATTTATAAATGTCCTAGTTTGATATTAATATCTCTGAAACACAAGTTTTTTAAGTTAGAAAAGCCCTAAGATACTGGATATGCTTATACAATTGCTTAATTTTAGAATTGACAGGATAGCTGTTTTTTTCTTTTTAAACCATTTCTTAGAGTTTGGTGATCTGTATAGTCTAATTAAGGTATTAGAAATACTATGCTGGGCCATAGGTTGGTGGCTCATGCCTGTAATCTTAGCTACACAGGAGGCTGAAAGCTGAGCATCGTGGTTTAAGGACAGCCAGGGTAGAAAAGTCTGAGATTCTTATCTCCAAGGCACCAGCACATAATTGAAAGTGGAGATGTGGTTTAAGTGGTAGAGCATTAGCTTTGGACTAAAAAGCTAAGTAAGAGTACAAGGCCTTGAGTTCAAGCCCAAGTATTGTCACAAAAATAAGTAAAGGTAAAACTTAAGTACTATGTTGATTGAAGAAGAGACTAAATTAGATTATATGAAACCAGATTTTTAGGGGACATCTTAAAGTATGAATATAAAATATTGTAATTTCACTAGCTTTTCCCATGTAAATGTCCTATGGTTTGTGGTATAACTGCATTCTATAAAATATTAGGAGGAAATGATTTATACCTTTCATATGAAAGTGGACCAATGTGTACAAAGAGTGACAAAGCTGATTCAAAAAATTGTGGCAAAATATATGATTTACCATCTTAACCACTTATAAGTGTTGAATCCAACGATGTTACATACATTCTTACTGTTAGGCAACCATCACTATGCCCATCTCCAGAACATTTCCATTATTGCATACATTGTATTATTACGTAGCCACGATACAGTATCTCCCTATGTCTGCCTTCTCAAAGTCTTGTTTCTTTAAATTGGACTAGTCTAGGTACTTTTTATAAGCAGAATCACATAGTATTTGTACTTTACTGACTGGCTTATTTCCCTTAACACAGACTTTTCAAAATTTATTCATGTTATAGCATGCGTACACATTTTATTCCTTTTTAATGCTGAATAATATTCCATGAAATGTTTATATTGCATTTTATTGATCTATTGAAATGCTTTTACTGTTTTTTACACTTGAAATGCTTTTACCTTTTAGCTATTGTGAACAATTCTGCTATGAAGATGGATGTACACTTAAATTTTTATTTTTACTTCTTTTGGGAATAAACTCAGATGTAGAAATACCAAGTCATGGTTATTCTGTTTTTAAGTTTTTTGAGAAACAGCCCCAATATTTTCCATAGGGGCTGTACCATTTTATATTCTTAAGAACCATGTATAGACATTCCACATTCCTGCCAACAGTTGTTATTTTCTGTTCCATTTTGTTTGGTTCTGATAGTGGTCCTAGGGGGTATAAAATGGTATCTGTTTTTGCTTGGCAAACATCTACTACCTTTTCTGGTTTCAGTCAGATGTTACTTTCAGGGGAGAGCCTTCCACGAGCCTTTCAGTTAGGTGCTGTGGTTCCACACTTGATTTCTGTGTCATAGAGCTTCCTATGTTTGATTGTAATTTGATTGTTTAACTGACAGTTCTACCATGTGTTTTATTCCATAAAGGCAGAGGTCATGTCTGTCTTGACCACTGTTGTTTCTTTAGACTTGGCTGTCAGTGGCGACAGTGTCTAGAATGGGATACGTGTATGTTTAAATAGACATTCCCATCTCACACTATGATAGACAGCCTGGGCTTTGTAGATAGGACTCATGAAATCAGCTCTGACATTTAGTAGCTTTCTAATCTTGAATCAAGATTATATCTAAATCTTGGTATTGTTTCTTTAAAATGGGGAGATCTGCCTCATCTTCATTAATGGTAAAGATTAAAAGAGTTATGATGGATAAAACGGCCTTCAACAGTTAATAAATGTGGGCAAAATGAATGAGAAAGGAAATAGAAGTCCAAAATTTGTAGTCATTCTGATGATGATATTAACATATGATTAGAAACAGGAGAAACAGATTTAAGAAAGTCAGGCAAGGGATGTGAAGGGTAAACCAAAGGAGGAGGCTGCAATGCTTGGTAAGAAATGTACGCATTATCCTGCCCATGTACTTGTAACCCCTCTGTACAGTATGTTCACAAATAAAATAAAATAAAATTAAAAAAAAGAAAGTCAGGCAAGAAAAACACTGACTTTGTTCTTGAATCCCATGTGCTGGTGGGACCTTCTAAGATGTGACATCCTAGAGACAGTTTTAAATGTAGGTTTGGGCCAGAGATGACTATTGGAGAGTTAATCTGTAATGAAGACATGTGAAGAAAATGAGATTGCCTAAAGGAAGAATGTTTTGTAGAGTGAAAAGAGTGAAAAGGATATGCAATGTTTGCTATAAGGGCAGAAGAGAAAAGACTTGAAACAGAGAAAAAGGCATTCTAGAGTGAAGTAATGCAAAGGAAAGAACGTTACAGAACCAGAGAAAACAGAGATGCTCTTAATTGTGGCTGATGTTTCAATAATGACTCAAAGGATGGTGCTGTTTTAGCAAGTACAATTGACCATTAACGTTGGCAAAATTGTTTTAGTAGAGTGGCAGTAGTTGAAGCCAGACACTGGGACCAGGCTAAAAGACAGTGGAACTCTAAGCACTTATCTTAAATTGATCTTCAGGAAGTTTGGTAGGGAAAGAAAGATTGCACATGGAAGTTCAATACTTTGTTCATGGTCATACAGCTAACAAGTGGCAAAGGCAGGTTTTGAACTGCTAAGGGCTGGTTCTGGAACCTGTACAGTTATATTATGTAGGCTATACTCTTCTACCCTTTTTCCTCTGGTGGTTGAGAGCTATGTAAATATCTATACACTTTCTATTAAGAACAGAATCATTCACTCAGAAGAAAACCTGGTGCTGTCATTATTATATCTCAGATAGGAATTTGTATTTTATAGTATAATTAAATTGCCCATGTGATGCTTAGGTTAGGTTGCAAGCCTTGGCATATGTGCAGAGGAATAACTTTTAGAATTATTATTCATTTTTTATCAGACAATCCAGCAGTAGAAGTTTTTCATTAATGGTATAATTGGAAGAGGAAAGTTGATAAAATTAAATGCATAGATTGAAATCAGATTAAATACATACTGATGAAATTATAAGAGTTCTTTGCCATGCTTCAGTCAGGCAGTGTTGAAAATAAGGAGTGTGTATTGACTTTCTGGGATCCTGGGAATAGATACATAAAAACAAAAAGAAATATCTACTTTGTATTATGAACCTCTAAAGTAGTTATTAAATAAGATATTTTTCTTTAACTTCTCATCCCTGCTAGAAGAAACTGATAGTTGATACAGCTGTGTCAGCAGCTATAGGATTTTTTTTTCTTTGGTTATGTTAAATAACATATCCTGTCTTGTATAATTCACTTGTAGCCATGTAACAGGAGGTATTTAATGTCTTATTATATTGCACTTGCTTTGGAAACAGCTGAGAGCCTACAAGGGACAGTTAGAGACAAAGGGTTATTAAATGGACAGTCACTGAGGTCACTTACTGATGGCTTTATTGCAGTCTTCTGTTCATCTGTTTTCCCATGGCAGGTTGTTTGATCATGCTTTAATGGTTAAAGCTTTGTAAAATTACAAAGAAATCAGAAATCCTATGGGTCTCAAGTGTGGTTATTTACAGTTGGACTGCTGGCAGGAGAATGCTAAGTTTTATCATACTAATGCTAAGCTGGGTAAGACACCTGGTGAAATCTCATGGAGAAATCTCTGCCCTCTGATCTTTGAGTGTACTCTCAAGGCATAGTGTTTCAAGGTGGAAAGTACCCTGAAATATGACTGAGAGAACTTGGCTTTGCATCTCAACAGGTATGGCCAGTTGGGGAGGAGTTTCTCTAAGAAGTGTAAAAGGTTGTATTATTAGGTTGTTGGAGCTAAAATGTAGGCAGAATGGCATGAGGAGTTTTAATTAATTCTGTTATCTCTCTTTTATGGTTTGGAATGATACTGCCTTTGGTATTGTATTCGCTTACAAAATCATAGACAATATTTGATTCTGAGGAAGAATGTTGGGTAAGTGGTATCTCTATTTTCAGTGGAATTACTTTGGAGCTGACCCAAGGAACACGTGCTTGCAAGGCAGTCACAGTAAACAGAGTCCAGAGATGTTAGAATTGTTCTGTGTGAGTCATTGGCCAGTAGGAAAGTATCTAATATAATAGTTTAACTTACTGTTTAGATATTGATAGTATATTGTTTAGATACATAACCTTCCCCCAAAGTTCTAGTAGTTCTTTTTTCTTTTCTTTTTCTTGGTGAGGGGGAGGGCTGTGTGCCACTCCTGGCATTTGAACTCAGGGTCTGGGTGCTGTCCCTGAGCTTTTGTCCTCAAGGCTATTGTTCTATCACTTGAGCAACAGCTCTATTTCTGTCTTTTTTGGGTGGTTAATGGGAGGTAAGTGTCTCAAGGACATTCCTGCCCAGACTGGCTTCAAACTGTAACTCTTAGATCTCATCCTCCCGAGTAGCTATGATTACAAGTGAGAGCCATTGGTGTCTGGCTTTACATTCTTAAAATTGGTGATTCTAGGTGAAAACATCAAAACTAAGTCAGTTAGATAAAGTAACTTTGATATTCAAGTTATCGTAACAGCTTAAGTACATTAAGTATATTATTTTGAGTCTTTAGTTTTTTTGTTTAAAATTTACTTTGAAAGAAAATTTGCCTTGAGATAAAGAAATTGTATAGCTGACTTGTGCTTGGAAAAGTGTTACAGTGAAAGGTGCTGTCTTACAACATTTTAAAATGTTGGAGGATATAGAGGTGTTGCTCAAGTAGTAGAACACCAGCCTTGAGTGAAAAAGCCTAGTGCTTGAACCCTGGGCAGAGTTCAAGCCTTAGAACCAGTGCTAGTGCATGGGCAAGGACACACACACACACACACACACATACACA